GCCGTCAGCTCCGGGGCTCCGTGCCTCGGTTTCCCCGCTCGCAGCCCTGTTATCCCCGCCGTGTCCCGCACCGCTCTGCCCGGAGTTGCGGGAGAATCGCTGCGGGTCCCCGTCGGGTCGATGACTCAGCGCTGCCCGACGCCGCGCGTTGATGACGGGGTTCGGGAACGGCCGCCCCGCACGGGGGGTCACCGGGACTCCGCGTGGCGCTGAATCAGCGGCGCGATGAGTTTGGGGGCGCTCAGCCCCTCCTCCATCCCGCAATGCCGCTGCAATGTGGGACGGGGAGGGCGATGTCCCCAACGGTGGCATCGCTGCCCCACTGCTGAGTCCCCTGCAGGGACACCGCGTCCCCGTCCCCGCAGCGGGGTCAGGTGCGTGCATGCGCATCACGTGCACTGCTCACATGCATTTGTACGGTGCATGCACTGCACGCCTGAGCACTGCAGGCTGCCCCGAGCTCCTCTTACTGCCTCAGTTTCCCCAGCAGGGAGGCGTCCCCCTCCTCCAGGAGCTCAGCACGGGGTGCTGCCAACACCCTGGAGGCGCTGTGGGTGCGGGCAGCCCCTTCTCCCACATCCCCGGGGCTGCAGGAAGGAGCGCTGAGGGTGGGGGGATTCCAGGTGGGAGGGCGCTGTGGGCGGGGGGATCCCTTGGGGCACCTCCGTGTGGGATTTCCCAGCCCTGCGTTGTGGTGGGGACCCCCCGCTTCCATCCCCACCCCAAAGCCACCCGTGGGGGAAACGAGACAGCAGGGATGCCCCCCTCCCCCCCTAAAATCTCCACCCACTGCGCTGGGGAGGTGGGAAGGGATGAACACAGACAGCGGTGAGGTTAGAAAATTTATTGGAAAAAAAAAGAAACCAAAACGAAACAAAACCAAAAGTTGTTCTGCGATCAGTACAAGAATAGACTCTGTGGTGGGATCGGGGCAGGGTCTCCCCAGTGGCTCGAGTGCAAAAAATAAACCAAAAAACAGCGTCACACGTCCATCCACGTCACCACCGCCGCGCCGTCCCAGGATGAAGTTCGGCCGAATCCTTCCTCCTCCATCACCAAAGGGACCGAGCGCTGCAAGGGCGCTCAAAGGGACCCCCCAAAACGGGACCCCCCCCAAAACGGGACCTGTGCGCCCCACGGCTGCCCCGGGCTCAGCCCCACAGCTGTGCCCACCGCCGCGCCGGGCGCTCCGCGTTCCTCTCCGGTTGGACAGAAAAATCCCTGTCTGTGCTCGGGGCGCTGGGGCGGCTCTGTGCTCCCCGCAGCTCCGCTCTCCGTCCCGGCGCTCAGCGCTCCTGCAGCCGCACCACCGGCACCCATTGGTTGCGGTCGCGGCTCTCGGCGCAGTAATTCGCCACCTCGGCCAAACCGTGGCTCTGCCAGGCGTCTGCGTGGGGCATCTGGGGAGAGAGAGCACAGAGATGGCACCGTGAACGGCTGGGAAGGGCTGGTGACAGTGCATGGAGCGGTGATGGCACAGCAATGGCATTGTCATGGCACAGGGACACCATGGCACAGGGACACCGCAGCACAAAGCGTGGCGATGGCATCGTGGCACTGTGACACCACGATGGGACACGGCGCTGTCACGGCACAGGGGCACAGTTGTGGCACAGCGACACCTTGGCACAATGACACGACTATGGCACAGCAATGGCACTGTGACAGCACGGCACAAGGTGTGGCGATGGCATGGTGGCCCTGTGACAGCACGATGGGACGTGGCACAGTGACGGCATCACCACGGCACAACGGCAGCACGAATTGATGATGGCAGCACCGTGGCATGAAGCGCAGCGACTGCAAGGCACAAAGCGTGGCAGCGCCATCGCAGCCCTGCAGTGGCGCCATCACAACACAGCGACATCCCCGTGACGCAACAACAGCACGAGATGCAACGATGGCACGACAGCAGCAGCACGGAGCCGCTCCTGGCCCGCATCCCCACACCCACATGACTCAGAAGCACCCGCGTCACCCCGCGCTCACCGTGACCAGCAGGCAATGCAAATCGCGAGGCTCGGCTCCCGGCGCCGGCTCTCCCAGCACAGCCGCCAGGCGCCGCATGCCGGCCACGCGCACGATGTGGATGTCATTGTCACAACAGAAGGCCTGGATCAGCGTGAAGTGGATCTGCAGGGCGATGTCGCCTTCGTCCTCCTCGTCGGTGGCCAACACGCACAGCACGACGCTGTCGGGGTCCCTAAGGGGGCGGGGGGGAGTGGCGTTACAAGGACGCACGTGACGCAGCCCCCCCCCCGAGCTCGGCAGCCCCCACCCGCACCGTGCATACAGACAGAGGGGTGCGCAGC